GGGGGCCGATTCCGGGTTTCCCTGGGATTCCTGGAATTCCGGGGGCCGATTCTTCCGGGCTCAGTCGGAGTCGGAGTCGCTCTCGGCCTCCTTGACGTCCACGCTGAACTTGTACTCCTGGTCGCAGCCCATGTAGGCGTCGCTCATGAAGAACAGCGTGTAGTGCTGCGTGCCCGCCGCCGGCGCCACGAAATCCAGCTTCACCTGGGCACGGGGATGGCATGGTCACCCAGGGGCACCGGGGGCACCGGGGGCACCCAGCCCATGGCACCCAGTGTCACCCAGCCCAGCTTCACCTGGGCACGGGGATGGCACCGTCACCCAGGGGCACCGGGGCACCCAGGGGCACCCAGCCCAGCTTCACCTGGGCACGGGGATGGCACCGTCACCCGGGGCACCCAGCCCATGGCACCCAGTGTCACCCAGCCCAGCTTCACCTGGGCACGGGGATGGCATGGTCACCGGGGCACCCAGGGGCACCGGGGCACCCAGGGCACCCAGCCCATGGCACCCAGCCCAGCTTCACCTGGGCACGGGGATGGCACCGTCACCCAGGGGCACCCAGGGGCACCCAGGGGCACCCAGCCCATGGCACCCAGTGTCACCCAGCCCAGCTTCACCTGGGCACGGGGATGGCACCGTCACCCAGGGCACCCAGGGTCACTCTGGGGTCACCCAGCCCAGCTTCACCTGGGCACGGGGACAGGGCATGGTCACCCAGTGTCACCCAGTGTCACCCAGGGTCACTCTGGTGTGACCCAGCCCAGCTTCACCTAGGCACGGGGACAGGGCATGGTCACCCAGGGGCACCCAGGGTCACCCGGGGTCACTCTGGTGTCACCCAGCCCGTGGCACCCGGTGTCACATGGTGCCACCCCCACTCCATGTCAGCAGCTGTGTCACCCGTCCCATGTCACCCCCCCACAGGGTCCCCAGAGTGTCCACAGTGCCACCCCCAGTGCCACCCCCAGTGCCACCAAATGCCAGCCCAGTGCCACCAAATGCCATCCCAGTGCCACCCCCGGTGTCCCCCCAGTGTCACCTTGGCCTTCTGCTGCAGCGTCAGGCGCTTGATGGAGATGAGGCTGTTGGACTTGGAGTCCCCGATCACCACCCACCAGCCCTCCTCACGCTTCTGTGGGGACATGGGGGACATCAGGGACACTGCCACCCCAGTGCCACCCCAGTGCCACCCACCAGCCCTCCTCACGCTTCTGTGGGGACATGGGGGACATGGGGGACATCAGGGACACTGCCACCCCAGTGCCACCCCAGTGCCACCCCATCACCACCCACCAGCCCTCCTCACGCTTCTGTGGGGACATCGGGGACATCAGGGACACTGCCACCCCAGTGCCACCCCAGTGCCACCCACCAGCCCTCCTCATGGTGACATCATCAGGGACAGGGGGACATTGGGGTCGGGGGGACCCCGAGCCCGCGGTACCTGTGGGAACAGGGGCGCGATGACCGGCCCCGTGACCTCCTCCTCACGCTCCAGCTGCACCAGCACCACCACGGGGCCACCGCTGGGGACGGGGACGGGGTCAGCAACCCCAAACCCCATCCCAAACCCCAAACCCCATCCCAAACCCCATCCCAAACCCTGTCCTGATCCCATCCCAAACCCCAAACCCCATCCCAAACCCCATCCCAAACCCTGTCCTGATCCCATCACAAACCCCAAACCCCATCCCAAACCCTGTCCTGATCCCATCACAAACCCCAAACCCCATCCCAAACCCTGTCCTGATCCCATCACAAACCCTGTCCTGATCCCAAACCCTGTCCTGATCCCATCACAAACCCCAAACCCCATCCCAAACCCTGTCCTGATCCCATCCCAAACCCCAAACCTCATCCCAAACCCTGTCCTGATCCCATCCCAAACCCTGTCCTGATCCCATCCCAAACCCCAAACCCCATCCCAAACCCCAAACCCTGTCCTGATCCCATCCCAAACCCCAAACCCCATCCCAAACCCTGTCCTGATCCCATCCCAAACCCCAAACCCCATCCCAACCCTGTCCTGATCCCATCCCAAACCCCATCCTGATCCCAAACCCCGTCCTGATCCCATCCCAGCACCACCACGGGGCCACCGCTGGGGACAGGAACGGGGTCAGCAACAGCGGGACCACACCGTGATCCTGACCCCGATCCTGATCCCATCCAACAATCCCAATGGCCCCGGTGGCCCCGGTGGCCCCGCTCTCACCTGGTGTTGCTGTCCCTGTCCCCCACCCCATAGGACATCTCCATGTTGGGGCACCACTTGCAGAACCATCTCCACGATCCCAATGATCCCAATGATCCCAACGACCCCAGTCCCATCCCAATGACCCCAATCCCAACCCCGATGACCTTGGTGGCCCCGCTCTCACCTGGTGTTGCTGTCCCTGTCCCCCACCCCATAGGACATCTCCATGTTGGGGCACCACTTGCAGAACCATCTCCACGATCCCAATGATCCCAATGACCCCAGTCCCATCCCAGTGACCCCAATCCCAACCCCGATGACCTCGGTGACCCCGGTGGCCCCGCTCTCACCTGCGGATGTTGTCCCTGTCCCCCACCTCGTAGGACAGCTCGATGTTGGGGTAGCGGTTGCAGAAGCGCGCCACGTCGGCGATCTGCGCCTCGGGCAGCTGCAGCAGCGCCGTGCGCTCCTCGTCCTCCATCTCCATGATGTCGAACACGCTCTCCACGCCCTGCAATTGCCCCACGTGTCCCCAAGATGTCCCCTGGCCGTCCCCAAGATGTCCCCTGGCCGTCCCCAAGATGTCCCCAGATTGTCCCCAAGATGCCCCCAAAGTGTCCCTTGGGTATTGGAGGACCTCGTTAATTGGTCAAGTAACTTGGAGTATCTCAACCCATGGGTGTCCCCAAGGTGTCCCCTTAAACTGTCCCCTGGGTGTCCCTCAAGTGTCCTGTGGGTCCTAAGGTATCCCCAAGATGTCCCTGAAGTGTCTCAAGAGTCCCAAAGAGTTCCCAAAATGTCCCCAAGGTCCCCAACATGTCCCAAAGATGTCCCCAAGGTGTCCCCAAGGCGTCCCATAGGTCCAAAGGTGTCCCCTTGGTGCCTCTGAGATCTCTGAGTCCCCTGGGTGTCCCCAGGATGTCCCCAAGGTGTCCCCAAGGTGTCTCCAAAGTCCCGAAGGTGCCCCAAAGATGTCCCCAGGGTGTCCCCACGATGTCCCCAAGGCGTCCCATAGGTCCTAAGGTGTCCCCTTGGTGCCTCTGAGATCTCTGAGTCCCCTGGGTGTCCCCAAGGTGTCCCCAAAGGGTCTCCAAAGTCCCGAAGGTGCCCCAAAGATGTCCCCAAGGTGTTCTTCCCAAGGTGTCCCATAGGTCCTAAGGTGTCCCCTTGGTGCCTCTGAGATCTCTGAGTCCCCTGGGTGTCCCCAGGGTGTTCCCAAGGTGTCCCCAAAGTCCCGAAGGTGCCCCAAAGATGTCCCCAGGGTGTCCCCAAGGTGTCCCCAGGGGTCCCCAGGCCGCACCTTGTCGGCGCAGCGTTTGATGTGCTCCGAGGTGAAGTGGGGCAGCTGCTTCAGGTACGAGTCCTTGGACCACATGGCCTGGGTGACCATCTGGGCCAGCTCCATGGCGGCCAGCGCCGGGCTCAGCCACCCATTGCTGGACAGCACGTCCACGCAGGCCTGGATCAGCCGGATGGCCTGGACACACGGACACACGACACACGGACACATGACACACGGACACGGCGGTCAGCGGTGGGCAGGGGTCATCAGGGATGGTCAGTGGTGGTCAGGGGTGGTCAGGAGTGGTCAGGGATGCTCAGGGATGCTCAGTGGTGGTCAGGGGTGGTCAGGAGTGGTCAGGAGTGGTCAGGGGTGGTCAGGGATGGTCAGGGGTGGTCAGGGATGCTCAGGGATGCTCAGTGGTGGTCAGGAGTGGTCAGGGATGGTCAGGAGTGGTCAGGGGTGGTCAGGGGTGGTCAGGGATGGTCAGGGGTGGTCAGGGATGGTCAGGGGTGGTCAGGGATGGTCAGGGATGGTCAGTGGAGGTCAGTGGTGGTCAGGGATGGTCAGTGGTGGTCAGTGGAGGTCAGTGGTGGTCAGTGGTGGTCAGGGATGGTCAGGGGTGGTCAGGAGTGATCAGGGATGGTCAGGGATGGTCAGGGATGGTCAGGAGTGGTCAGGGATGGTCAGGAGTGGTCAGGGATGGTCAGGGATGGTCAGTGGTGGTCAGTGGAGGTCAGTGACAGCCAGGGATGGGGACCTCACAGGATGGACCCAGGCTGGAGCAGTTCCTGCAGAACTGACCCCATGGAAGAGTGACCACATGGGGCAATGCCAGGAGAACTGCCCCCAGAGGATGGAATTCCTGGAGAACTGCCCCCAGAGGATGGAATTCCTGGAGAACTGACCCAGAGGATGGAATTCCTGGAGAACTGACCCCAGGGGATGGAATTCCTGGAGAACTGACCCCAGGGGATGGA